TCACTCGAGAGTGTGTTACCTTGTTTATAGGATTCTTATCAGGGCTATAGGACATTCATCAGGGTTTTGTAAGGCTGTATAGGGATTCCGGCATACATATAGAAATATATATATATATATATAGTTATACATCTATATATATATATAGACATATAGTTCGATATCTATATAGTTATAGTTATATATATATATAGTTATTTATATATATATATATAGTTATATATATATATATACATATATATATATATAGATATATATATATATATATTTGCACATATACATTGGTTCGAATATTTAAGTTTTCGACGTTGTACACATGCAGGCTCCTTCCAGGGTTCGCTGACTGTTCTACGTTGAAACATAAACGGAAAACCCCGTGAAGGGGTTCAGGGCTCTCCGTTCGTTCCGGATTTTTAGGGGTTGAGGGTTTAGGGTTTAGGGTTTTGGGTTTTGGGGTTGAGGGTAGTATAGGGGCCTTAATAATCAGAAGAGGTTTGGGGTATATTATACTATAACTATGATAAGAAGGAACCCCCCAAAACCCTATTCTAAATATTAAGGCCCCTACTTTATGGGCTCAGAGCTTTTTGGCTTGTCGGGCTTAGGGATTACAGGGCTTTGGAGTTGCAGAAACTTTTTGCTTTGTAGGGTGTGGGGTTGACCGGTGTCGGCGAATGTAGGGCTTTGGAGATGATACAAGTGATCCTGAAAACCGAAAATCTGACATTCTTACATTTCCGTGGCCCATTGCACCCCTTTGAAGATCGCTAGCGTCCCTTTGTCAGCCGGCCCGCTCTGGCGCGCAGTTAACCTCGTTCCGTCGAACAAGGATGTTGGCATGCATAACAGACCTCGCTCATTCGAGCGAAGGATCTTTGCAGACCCTCACGGGTTTTGGGGGCGTTTCGGATCGGCTTACTCTGAGAAAGGGGCCATGCGCACCAGGAGGTTAAAGAAGTACTCTCGCTGGTACCGCCTCATCACGGGAGATGGGTGAGGCATCTTGGCATCGTCGGCAAAGGCTTTGATCACTACGTCCTTGCACTTCCTTGGCTCTCGATGAGAATACTAGTATGACAATCTTAATCATCATCATAGTCATAACCATAATCATATCCATCACCAACTTTAGCTCTGTCGTGCTTCCGCTGAGGAAACCATATTAATGTCGAAACAAGGTAGCGGGCACCAAGAAAGGAACCACAATGGATACCCTAGCTAAACCCTTAAACCAAGCCAGCTTCAGCCGCGGATATGCCGTAAGGATGTTGGTTTTGGTCTTCTTGGAGAGGTCCTCGCAGCGGTAGCCCACCACGTCACAGCACGTACCCAGGGTTATGAGGCCCGCCAGCTCCGTGGGCTTTTCAAAACCGAGCGCTGTGTGAAGGCGCATAGCCTCGTTTAGGTTTTCCGCCTCACGGCTTTGTGGTTTGGGGCTCAAGCCCTAAACCCTAAACCCTAAACTCCTGCTAGTCAGTCTAGGGTCTTCGGCTCTGAATAATTTCGGAGGTTGAAATCAGGGTGTGGGGTTTTGGGTGTGAAGTCAGCTGGCCTCATACATCACCTTGATTTGCTGCTGGGTCATCTGCGTCTCTTTCAAGGCAAAGCGCAGGCACCTTCGAGCCCCACCTAAGCTGTTCAGTAACCAACTGGGTTTAGGGTTTATAGGGTTTAGTATATACTTTTTGGGTTAGTTATATTATGTTAGGAACCAATACCCCAAGAAAGTAAAAGAAAATATACTACTGAACATCCTAGCCACGAACCTCAAAGGGGTACATCGACTCATCGTTTTCTGCTTGGCTGGTCCTGAGCTGCTGATGGGATCTATGCTAGGGTTTAGGGTTTAGGGTTTAGGGTTTAGGGTTTAGGGTTTAGGGTTTAGGGTTTAGGGATCTATAATAGGGTTATTCGAAGGGATCTTTAATCGGGTTACTACAAGGGATCTTTAAAAGCTTACGATAATCTGTTTGGTCCTCCTCACTAAAGTTCGAAAAATATGAAAGAACCATCCCCCAAAACTCGGAACCCTTTGAGCCTGAAGGCGTGTACTACACCCTGATTCCTAAATCTAAACCCTAAACCCTAAACCCTAAACCCTAAACCCTAAACCCTAAACCCTGAACCCTTAACCCTAAACCCCTAACGCTACAAGAACGGCTCAGGGTCTTTGTCAAGCCGAAGTCGTGGAAAGCGAAGGCCACTGCCATCTGCTCTAAGTCGAGGCCATCCAAGGAGCCTTGTCCACAGTGCTTATACCCATAGGCCCTTGGGGTTTAGGGTTTAGGGTTTAGGGTTTAGGGTTTAGGGTTTAGGGTTTAGGGTTTCATAGTAGTTCCTTTTTGGGGGGCTCATATTTAGAATCCTCTGGGGTAATCCCAAAAAGGAACTACTATGTGGCCTATGGGTAGTTTCTAGAATGCCAGGTTCTTTTATTAAAGGGCGCCTTCCGGATTCTTTAAGGGTTCGAGAGAATATACAGGTTTAGGCTGTTACGTTAAGGCTTTAGGAGTGGGGTTTCTGGGCAGACGGTGTTGTTCAGGCTTCAAGGGTTTGGGGCTTAGTGATTTGGGCTTGGGCTTTGGGGTTTACGGCTTGAGGCCTAGGCTTTATATTCGGGTTTATGTTGCTTTAGGGTTCAAAGCGCCAGGTGCTTTGGCGTTTCTAGGGTCTTGGGTTTGCAGCGAGCCTTTGCCAAACCACCGCACAGCCGCAGCATAGTAGTAGGCGCGCATGCAGTGGTTGAACAAGGACTCTCCCGAGAACTCTCCTTGCTTTCCCAGCAAAACAGAAAATGAAGCTATGCATGAAAGTAGAGACTCCAATATCCCTTAATTAAGGAATATACTTTAAATTATAGTAGGATTCCTAACATGATTTAAGGCATATTCCTTGATTAAGGGGTTTTGGAGTCTCTGGGAAAGTATCGACATCTCAGTCTAAAGATGAACTGGAAGCCCCTCAGATCTGTCCGTGACGTAGGCCCAAGTTTCAAAGCCCTGGCAAGATTGTGGCCTTCATGTTTAGCAGGAGGCTTCGGTAGAATCATATACGGGTATCAGATATAAGGAACCCTAAGTAATACCTAGTTGTGCAGAAGTCTATATGTCATAAAAGTTTTCAGTGCGTTACCCAAACATAACTATATAGGGCCTATAGGGCCGATATGACGGCAACGGATCCCTAAACTCAAAACCCCAAACCCTCAAACCCCAAAACCCCAAACCTTAAAGCCTAACCATAGGCCCCATAGTAGTTCCTTTTTTGGGGTTCATATTTAGAATCCTATAGGGTAATCCCCAAAAGGAACTACTATGGGGTCTATGGGTAAACCCTAGATCTCAACCAAACCCTCAAAACCCAAACACTCAAACCCCAAACCCCCTACAAAAGCACCCTAAACCCTAAACCCTAAACCCTGAACCCTAAACCCTAAACCCTAAACCCTAAAAGCTGAATCTCTGCACAGCTCAAAAGCTCGGACCACTGGCTCGGTTTGTGGAGGTCCCAGCGCCTCCAAGTCGAGATCACGGTTTAGGGTTTAGGGTTTAGGGTTTAGGGTTTAGGGTTTAGGGTTTAGGGTTTAGGGTTTAGGGTTTAGCCAGCGCCTCCAAGTCGAGATCACTTGGGACGCGGAGGCCCAAAGCACGGCCTTGATTTGGGGCTTTTTGGGGCCTAATGTGGGAGCCTTATCAGAATTACCTATATCATTTTTTTTTTTTTTTTGGGGG